TATATATATATATAGAGAGAGAGAGAGAGAGAGACAGACATATATTACTTTTATAAAGATTCATAATAAGAATAATCACAAGATACTGACTACGTTACTGAAGCAAAAAAGACTTTGACTCAAGAAGCTGCTGCTGGTGACTCTTTTAGAATCCTAGAATAATAAACTATTACGATTTTTTTTTTAATACAACACAAAAAACAACCAAAAAAAAAACAGCCGAAAATGTGAACACGTACCAGAGTCCGAAATGAAATGCATGCTTTTAAAACTGCAGCAAAGTTAAAATTTCAATCATCCTAAAATGGGAAAAAAAAGAAATTCATGATTTTTTAATGTGTATTTTATGTGTATCTTTTGATTTTTTTGGTTTTTGTTTTGGTGAGCCAAACCAAACAAAAACTGCTTTTTTTTTAAACATTAGTTTGATGACTATATAAAAATATACACACAGTTATGTAATGTCATTTCTTTTGGAAAAAAAACTCACGCCGCCTTAGCCATCGTTTTGATTTTTAAAGTTCAAATGGAAGCTCTTTAAAAAGGTGCCAAAAGCGAATGATCCTTCTACTTGGATGCATCAAGTCCTGATGAAATAAACCAATCCCAGGGGGAAACCAATCAACCACGTGTGTGTCTCTCGCGATAAATGCCGAATCGCTCTTTGGTTTGGATTTCGAACATGCTAACATCCTGCAATTTTCCTCGAGGGGGCGCTACGGCAGAATTTTTATGAATATCATCACCGGGTAACTACGAATGAGTGTAAACAAGTCTACCACACGACTGTGAAAAGGTGGGGTCTTATTGTGGGAGGTGAGGTTCTTTGTGTAAGGGTGGGGGGGGTCCACTTCGGGGCAGGTTCTCTTCACATGTACGGGAGCGGGACAGGGTAGCACATGTCCCTTGAACTTGTTTCGGTGCGAACATGCTACATCCTCATGAGCAACACTTCGAAGGCACAACACTGTAAAACTGACAGAATGCAGTCAGTAAAAAAGAAAAACAAAAAAAACATTGAACATTGAGTTTACCTCTGTACCTGTCCTGTGTGTCCAAGACAACAACATGTAGTACGACAAACATCTTTACAACAACAACACAAGGACAACAGATTTGCAGCATGTTGTACACACGTTCGGGATGATACAAATAGCAACGACCGTCACCATCGGATCGGAGAGGCAAGAGGAGAAAGAAACACCTTTTTGTTTCTACTTCGTCGCCCTAAAACAGAGGTGTCAAACACACAGCCCGCGGGCCGGAACCGGACCCCAAGGTGGTGGTAGTTCGCGCGGGGTAATTTAAAAGTGAAAAAAATCATAAAACACACGGAATGAATATTTTTAATAATGTGCAAGTCATGCAGTATCCGCCAGGTGGCACACTGTTTTGAGTAGAGTAAGGCATTTTTATCTTCCCCAAAAAAACGAGCACATATAGGAAGGTGTTTTGGGCCGAAAAAAAAAAAACATGTATGGTAAAGCGTTTTTGGCCGAAAAAAGCGACCATATATAGTAAGGCGGTTTTGGCAGAAAAAAATCGACCATGAATAGTAAGGCCTTTTTAGCCGAAAAAAAGACCATGTATAGTAAGGCGGTTTTGGCAGAAAAAAATGACCATGAAAAGTAAGGTGTTTTGACCTGAAAAAAAACGACCATGTTTAATAAGGCGTTTTTGGCCGAAAAGAACGACCATGTATAGTAAGGCGTTTTTAGGTGAAAAAAACGACCATGTATAGTTAAGGCGTTTTTATCCGAAAAAAACGACCATATATTGCAAGGCATTTTGAGCCGAAAAAAACGACCATGTATAGTAAGGCCTTTTTAGCCGAAAAAAAACGACCATGTATAGTAAGGCGTTTTTAGCCGAAAAAAATGACCATGTATAGTAAGGCGTTTTGGGCCAAAAAAAACGACGATGTATAGTTAGGCGTTTTTAACCGAAAAAAAAACGACCATGTATCGGAAGGCGTTTTGGGCCAAAAAAAACGACCATGTATAGTAAGGCGTTTTTAGCCGAAAAAAACGACCATGCATAGTCAGGCGTTTTGGGCTGAAAAAAACAATCATGTATAGTAAGTCGTTTTGGGCTGAAAAAAACGACCATGTATAGTAAGGCGTTTTTAGCCGAAAAAAACGACCATGCATAGTCAGGCGTTTTGGGCTGAAAAAAACAATCATGTATAGTAAGTCGTTTTGGGCTGAAAAAAACGACCATGTATAGTAAGGCGTTTTTGGCCGAAAAAAACAACCGTGTATAGTAAGGCGTTTTGGGCCGAAAAAAACGACCATGTACAGTGAGGCGTTTTGGTCTGAAAAAAACGACCATGTATTGTAAGTCGTTTTGGGCTGAAAAAAATGACCATGTATTGGAAGGCGTTTTTAGCCGAAAAAAACGACCATGTATAGTAAGGCGTTTTTAACCGAAAAAAACGACCATGTATAGGAAGGCGTTTTTAGCCGAAAAAAACGACCATGTATAATAAGGCGTTTTTAGCCGAAAAAACGACCATGTATAGTAAGGCGTTTTTAACCGAAAAAAACGACCATGTATAGGAAGGCGTTTTTAGCCGAAAAAAACGACCATGTATAATAAGGCGTTTTTAGCCGAAAAAACGACCATGTATAGTAAGGCGTTTTTAACCGAAAAAAACGACCATGTATAGGAAGGCGTTTTTAGCCGAAAAAAACGACCATGTATAATAAGGCGTTTTTAGCCGAAAAAACGACCATGTATAGTAAGGCGTTTTTAACCGAAAAAAACGACCATGTATAGGAAGGCGTTTTTAGCCGAAAAAAACGACCATGTATAATAAGGCGTTTTTAGCCGAAAAAACGACCATGTATAGTAAGGCGTTTTTAACCGAAAAAAACGACCATGTATAGGAAGGCGTTTTTAGCCGAAAAAAACGACCATGTATAATAAGGCGTTTTTAGCCGAAAAAACGACCATGTATAGTAAGGCGTTTTTAACCGAAAAAAACGACCATGTATAGGAAGGCGTTTTTAGCCGAAAAAAACGACCATGTATAATAAGGCGTTTTTAGCCGAAAAAACGACCATGTATAGTAAGGCGTTTTTAACCGAAAAAAACGACCATGTATAGGAAGGCGTTTTTAGCCGAAAAAAACGACCATGTATAATAAGGCGTTTTTAGCCGAAAAAACGACCATGTATAGTAAGGCGTTTTTAACCGAAAAAAACGACCATGTATAGGAAGGCGTTTTTAGCCGAAAAAAACGACCATGTATAATAAGGCGTTTTTAGCCGAAAAAACGACCATGTATAGTAAGGCGTTTTTAACCGAAAAAAACGACCATGTATAGGAAGGCGTTTTTAGCCGAAAAAAACGACCATGTATAATAAGGCGTTTTTAGCCGAAAAAACGACCATGTATAGTAAGGCGTTTTTAACCGAAAAAAACGACCATGTATAGGAAGGCGTTTTTAGCCGAAAAAAACGACCATGTATAATAAGGCGTTTTTAGCCGAAAAAACGACCATGTATAGTAAGGCGTTTTTAACCGAAAAAAACGACCATGTATAGGAAGGCGTTTTTAGCCGAAAAAAACGACCATGTATAATAAGGCGTTTTTAGCCGAAAAAACGACCATGTATAGTAAGGCGTTTTTAACCGAAAAAAACGACCATGTATAGGAAGGCGTTTTTAGCCGAAAAAAACGACCATGTATAATAAGGCGTTTTTAGCCGAAAAAACGACCATGTATAGTAAGGCGTTTTTAACCGAAAAAAACGACCATGTATAGGAAGGCGTTTTTAGCCGAAAAAAACGACCATGTATAATAAGGCGTTTTTAGCCGAAAAAACGACCATGTATAGTAAGGCGTTTTTAACCGAAAAAAACGACCATGTATAGGAAGGCGTTTTTAGCCGAAAAAAACGACCATGTATAATAAGGCGTTTTTAGCCGAAAAAACGACCATGTATAGTAAGGCGTTTTTAACCGAAAAAAACGACCATGTATAGGAAGGCGTTTTTAGCCGAAAAAAACGACCATGTATAATAAGGCGTTTTTAGCCGAAAAAACGACCATGTATAGTAAGGCGTTTTTAACCGAAAAAAACGACCATGTATAGGAAGGCGTTTTTAGCCGAAAAAAACGACCATGTATAATAAGGCGTTTTTAGCCGAAAAAACGACCATGTATAGTAAGGCGTTTTTAACCGAAAAAAACGACCATGTATAGGAAGGCGTTTTTAGCCGAAAAAAACGACCATGTATAATAAGGCGTTTTTAGCCGAAAAAACGACCATGTATAGTAAGGCGTTTTTAACCGAAAAAAACGACCATGTATAGGAAGGCGTTTTTAGCCGAAAAAAACGACCATGTATAATAAGGCGTTTTTAGCCGAAAAAACGACCATGTATAGTAAGGCGTTTTTAACCGAAAAAAACGACCATGTATAGGAAGGCGTTTTTAGCCGAAAAAAACGACCATGTATAATAAGGCGTTTTTAGCCGAAAAAACGACCATGTATAGTAAGGCGTTTTTAACCGAAAAAAACGACCATGTATAGGAAGGCGTTTTTAGCCGAAAAAAA